CATCAGTGAGACGTGTGAGAAGAGGGATCAGGCCGACTGCACAGCCAGGGCAGCGGGGCTGCACACAAGGGCACTTCTCACCCGCTTCTCCCCAGCACAGGAAACAGGAAGACGGGAGGCTTACATACTAAATTAAACAGCTTTAAAAGTGACTTAATACATGCCTACTGCTTTCAAAGGAAATAAACATGAAATAGATGAAAACTGTAGCTGAAATGTTAAGATAAAAAATTTAGCTAATTTCCTTAGGAAGTAAAGTCTCCATTTCTGTCCCTCTCAAATCAGTCCAGGGGGTGTGACTCTAGGACACACCGCGCTGAAGTAACCGTGGCTACTTTTATAACCACAGACGGAAGACAACACCTGCCCACAAAGACACACACGAAGCAACGTACTTGCACAAACACAATCACTCTGAAAATATATCATACCTGGAAAAGGCACTGTATTTAAAAAATATAATCTCCTTAAGAAGTGCTTTACGAATTAGATATTTTTCCATAAAACCATCTGTGAAGAACACACACTAAGAAACTTAAAGCATTTGAAGTTATTATGTTGGTTATGTGTATTTTTTAAAAATACACAATTAGTTTCCACGCATGAATAAAAGCATAAACTCTTTCTTCTGATTTTCATACTGAATATATTATCTGGCAGAAAAGAGGTGACGTAATATAGTGTAGGTCCCAAAGTTCTTAAGCAAGAGGGCGTTAGGCTGTTGGGGAGATGAAACACACACTCGCTGAACGCTCACTAAATGCACTTAACATTGTCTTTGCCTGATCTGGGGAGCCCCAGACGTGGACATTATGACATTTATTTTATAAACAGTACCAGCAAATCAGAGCCTAGAGATGGTCAATAATTTGTACAAGTTAGTAAGGTAATAAAGGGCAGAGATGGGATTGAAGCCTAAATGTGAATCCATCATCAGAATCAGTGCTCTATTATACTATACTGCGCCCAAACTTATTTGAACATGTACTAGTACATGGGGATAGACCACCAAAAATATACTCTTAGAAAGGGAAGAGGGAAAGCCAGACTACATAGCTTCTGACCAGTGAAGGTTGATGGAAGCCTTATTCTAGAAGACGTATGATGGGAAAGTTAGTTATTTAACTTAATAATTATTCATGACGTCAACTCTTTCATCTGTAGAAAACCATCAGTCATTTATCTCTTAAAATCTCTAACCTTAAAATCACCTGTATAAAGAAAGTTTCAGGGACACCTGGATGGCTCAGTTGGTTAAGATCTCATGGTTTGTGACTTTGAGCCCCACATCGGACTCTGTGCTGACAGTGCAGAACCAGCTTGGAATTCTCCCTCCCTCTCTCTGTCTCTCTCCTCTCTCTTTCTCTCTCCCCCTTCATCCCCCCCTTTTCACTCTCCCCCCCCGCCCCTCCCCAACTCTCTCAAAAAAAAAAAGTTGCAGTGTTCTGATTTTATCATTCTACTTCTTTTTTTTTTTTTTAATGTTTTATTTATTTTAGGAGAGAGACACAGCGTGAGCAGGGAAGGGTCAGAGAGAGAGGGAGTCACAGACTGAAACAGGCTCCAGGCTCTGAGCTGGCAGTCAGCACAGAGCCCGACGCGGGGCTCGAACCCACGAACCGCGAGATCATGACCTAAGCGAAAGTCGGACGCTTAACCGACTAAGCCACCCAGGTGCCCCTCATTCTACTTTTTTTAAATCAAAGGTTCTCCCACTGATATTTATGTCTCTGAGACTAAGAAAATTCTTAAGTAAGAATGCTTAAGACTTAAGTAAATTCTTAAAGCATTCCCCCAAACTTTTAATGGTCTCAGAAGAAAGTAAGAGAGAAGTGTATACATTAAAATGTTTTACTGGTCTGTAACCTCATTTTTTTAGACCTGCCAAACGAGCTAGCCTCAGGCTGCCGGGCAAGGGCACACAGGGGTGACCACACGGTGGCATGGTGGGCACTTCACCTGCTGTGTACATGTAGAAGTGCTTTTCTAGTTAAATGTTCCAGCGTGCTCACCGAAGTAAATCCATGCAGCAATCCCGAAATTAAATTCTATCTCCCACTACACATTCTCTACAATTATAAAAGTTCTTAACCCTACTAGTAGAAATTCAACTTAAAAAAAAAAAAACTTCCTGTTTTGGAATATTTCATGAGCATATTAAATGTATCCATTATTCTCAGAGTGTATGCACCGTGAAAAGAACAAAATCTTCTCTAACTCAATAGTTACATCTGTTCCAATCATTCTCAAAACATCAGTTATCTCAGTGACTCAGAAAGATCCAAATGCCAGGTTCCATTGGGACTACTTTTTGTGGAGGGTCAAATTACCCAAGGGGAAAGAAAGGGAAGAACGTAATTCCTGAGAATGTGCTCATTCCTCAGAGGCAAGGGACTCCTGATCTTTTGCCATCAGCGTCCGGAGCCTAGAAGCTGCTTGTGGGGGATGAGGACAAGTCACAGAAATTCTACCTTAACACTGGAATCCCAGCTGACGCGATCGCCAAACTAGCCAGGGAGAGAGCATCAGTAATAAACATACAGATCCCAGAATTACTAGCTAAATTCCTAAAGTTTAAATCCTGGTCAGTCACATGAAGTGTCCTCCTTTACCGCAGACTGGCAAATGAAACAGTATGTCCTCAGGCAGAATCTAAAATATGAAGAGTAACTTGATCCAGAATAGTAAGGGGTAGGATAACATCTCTAAGTAGCAGCCTCAGTTCAAACCTTTTCCCTACGACTTCTGGCTAGTTATGGTCTCCACGTGTTTTTCCTTCAGCCATCAATGACAGCCACCACTGGACTGCAACAAACGCTAACAGAAACCCATGCAAATAACAAGATGAGCGTTACAAAACAGACGTAGATCAGCACATCAGGGGCAAAGCTCTTCTTCAGAAATGGAGACCATGCCTACTAACAGACATTCTCAAAATATGAAGATTAATAAATAAGTAAAAAGTAGCTTCCCAATCACTTTTACCTAAAAATTTTAAATGGAATCTTGAGGGCTATTTTCAAGATAGCTTCTCACTACACAAAACAAAGCCAAAATGACTCATAAAACGCAATGACTCAAACATGCAAGCTTCTACTTTCTTTAAGATTTTATGTCCATACCCAACGTGGGGCTCAGACTCACAACCCCAAGACCAAGAGTCAATTGCCCCACTGACTGAGCCAGCCAGGCGCCCCAAAACATGCACATTTTTAAAGTTCTTAGTTTTATGCAAACAGCTAAACTTTATGCAAACAACTAAATGCTAAGACTAAGTGAAAAAAAAAAACATAAAATTAGATCTTTGGATTATCAGAGTGTCTAGGACTGCAGTGTCCAACAGGGTTGCCACTAGCTACGTGGGACTATTTGAATTTCAGTTAGAAAATAAAATAAATTAAAGATTCGGTTCCTCAGTTACACCAGCCACATTTCAAATGCTCAAAAGCCACAAGTATCTGGCACAGTGGCTTCATACTGAAGTCTTGATCTAGAACAGTTACATCAAAACAGAGAATTCTACTGGAGAGCAGTACTCCTGAAGAAATCTGCCACAAAAATGGCAAAGAACACAATATCCATACAATTAAAAATCAAAACAGACACTGAAACGTTCTGGGGTGCCTAGCTGGCTCAGCTGGGGGGCACGCGACTCGCAATTTTAGGGTCGTGGGCTTGAGCCCCACATTAGGTATAAGAGATTACTTAAATAATTCTTTTTAAAAAAGAAAGAAATGTTCTGTATCTTGACTGTGGTAGTTCATGCGTAACTGTCACAACTCACAGAAATGTACACCCCTTCAATCGATGCGGTAACACATGTAAATTATTCCTCAATAAAGTTGATAAGGAAAAAAAGGATAGATATATGACCCCTGGTGTATTCCAAAGGAAAAATAAAATATATTTTGGGAATGCAGAGGAAGGTCCAAAATCCTGACTTGCTTACATGGTCCTTCAGCTGAGACCCCGGTGCATCAGCCTGGGGGGGTCCCAGCCAGAGAGGAGGGCAGGCGGCTATAGAGAGGAGAGTGCATATCTGCCCACGGCAAGAGGTGTGAGGAGCCAGAGATCCACACACTAGGGAAATTAAGGGACATTGTGTAGATTCCTCCAAAAATGTACCTACATCCTATCCTCAAATTGTCAAGTTAATTATTAAGATCACATCACTCACTGAGGGGCCACTGAAAGATGTAAAGTAATTCATGAAGAGTTGTAAGGTGTACAGCCTCATATGGGCATCTCTCAATTAAAGAAAAGAAACTGGTACGATGAAAAAACTACCCAAAATATTTAAAGATTTAATACCTGAAAATCAGAGCAGCCAGGATTACCATTCCCAATTCCACAAAACCCTTCAGCTCTCACCAAGGACCACAGCTGAGCACCCAGCACCAACTCCGGCTCCTCCTGCCTGTGACCGAGTGGCTGCTACCAGTCACTCTCCCAGGCCCAAGTTCTCAAGAGACAGACAGGAGATTCAAAGGGGAAAACACAGGCTCTCCAGAGCAATTCCATCAAGAACAACGGGTCTCAAATCTGTTTGGTTAACACCTGGTAGTCACAGTATATATACCTCGGTGCCTTAGTATAACAACATTAAATAATTTTTATTATGTTATATATCATTTTACTCAAACATTTCTATTATCACTAGCAGTTGTCAAAGGTTTATTAAACGGGGGAAAATGCTCAATGGAAAAGAAATGGTTACGTATCTTATGGTGTATTAGCTTATAGTATTTTGCACCATTAAAATGAGGATTATGAACACTGGCAACATAGAAAAACAGAATCAAACGAAAAAACAAAGCCACTATATCTACAGTATGTAAACATATAAAAAAGGACTAAAAGAAAACATGAACAATGGGAAATTGCTTGATTCTTAGACTGTGCACTTTTTCTTTAATGTAGCTATCATTTGTGTTGCTATGTTATTTGTATAACACAGAATAAAATTTCTAAATATTTATAAACACAGAGAGCACACTTACCACAGTGGGATTGCCACTACTTATCAACTGGCTGACTTCATGAAAAATGCTTTTGCAGTCAATTGATTTATCTAAGGATCCGCGTTTTACAATTACTGCTACTGCTAATAGAATCTGTTCCCGAACATACTTTTGGAGGCTGTAAAACATAAAAATCATTGTGAAAACCTTTACATGATTCTAATATAAAACTACTCCCAAATTTCTCCGTACGCCTGAAGCTACTGACAACACAGCTTACACAGGAGAGCAGTATAGCCCACTGGTTACACATGGTCTCCAAAGCCAGAAGATCTAGACTTCAATCTATGCTTCACTATGTATCGGCTTTGTGACCCTGACCAAGATAGTTTCAGAGCCTCAAGCTTTCTCATCTGTGAAATGGGGATAACAGTAACAGGGCTGTAACAAGAATCAAATGTTCTTCAAACTGCACCCAGTGCATATTAAGTGCTATATAAGTGTTAACCGCTTCAGGGAGTGTTCAATAGATAGAAGTCAGTTTACTAAGACCCAGATTATGATTCTACCAATAAAGAAATTCTGATCTAATATCCATCTCCAAACAGCAGTATATCTTAAATCCATTCCCTTAAATGTGAAAAGGCAACAGGCTAGCTACCCAAAATATATTACGGACACATACACATTTAAAAAAAATGCTTAGGGGCGCCTGGGTGGCTCAGTCAGTTAAGCACCAGACTTCAGGTCATGATCTCACAGTTTGTGGGTTCAACCCCCACATTGGGCTCTGTGCTGACAGCTCAGAGCCTGAAGCCTGCTTCAGATTCAGTGTCTCCCCCTCTACCCCACTCACACACTCTCTCTCACAAATAAACACTTTAAAAAAATTTTTTTTAAGTTTTAAATTCCTTGTCTAAACTGTGCTCTTCAGTGTTATGGCAGGAGCACTGATCCCAGGTGAAGGTATTCTACAAAGTCCACAGAGATTTAACTGTCCTTTCACAATCTTTTCTTAAAGGTAAGGCTCAGAAAACATACCGTCAGAATCCAGCTTCTAGAATGCCACAAGGATGCAACCATGTGCTCTTGGGATAAACCCCAAATTCTTTTAACATGGCTTACAAGCAGTGGGACCCAACCCAGTTTTCTTTGGACACTACCAATTTACCTATTGTTTTATCTAATTACTTACTAATCAGGTTTTCTTTTACCCTGCAAAGTGTCCCCATCTGGACATAAATGGTGCAGTCACCCACTTCAACAGCCTTTCACAGTCGGGACCTCCTGCCCTCTCTGACCCCACCCTTCCACATACACCCAAAACCGCAGACGTCCTGAGCCTCTTTAAGTCCCTGGCACGATGCACACTTCCAGTCCTCTGCCAGGACTGCGCTCCCACCTTCTCCAGAGGGATTCCCTGAAGCTCCCTGAACACGATGGGCCATGACTAAGGAGGACTCCCCCAACACATGACAGGCATTTACTGGACACACAAACAAACATGCCTTGTATGTCAAGACTGAAGTGAAAAATATTCCTTCAAAATACAGACTTGAAGCACTCATTAAGCAAATAAATGCAGAGATCGTATTAGAAGAATAGGAGGAATAGGAGTTAACCAAAAGGAATTTTTGTACGTTTGGGGAGACACAATAATTTCACACACATTGACTACTACCAGAAAATGTACATAAAGCTAGCTTTAAAGACCTCCATTGGCAAGAATTATAACTTACTAGGAAAATAAATAATAGCTAACACTGGTTGGTGTTTATGTTACACAAGGCTATAAACTAACTTCACAAAAATTAATACATCCAATCCTCACAAGATTCTTTTGAGTAAAATACTATTATTAACTCTAATAGCTAATTAAGTTAATAACAATAACTTTTTAAAGATTTTTTAAATGTTTTTATTTATTTCTGAGAGAGAGAGAGAGAGAAAGAGAAAGACAGTGTGAGCAGGGGAGGGTCAGAGAGAGAGGGAGACACAGAATCCGAAACAGGCTCCAGGCTCTGAGCTGTCAGCACAGAGCCTGATGCAGGGCTCGAACCCACAAACCGTGAGATCATGACCTGAGCTGAAGTCAGGTGCTTAACCGACTGAGCCCCGCAGGCACCCCAATGACAATAATGTTAAAACCGAATGCACTAACAGGGTAAGTACCCGCCCATGCACACAGAGTCAGAAGTAGATTCTTAACCACTCTGCTATACTGTCAAGTGCACCTTGCATTTCACTCTGTGAAAATGTCATCTCCATCAGGAGGAAAAAACGAGAAAAGAGAAAACTCTGGGTACCAAACGAGAAGTATACAACGCTATGCATGCAGCATTCACAGTATTCTCCCTATACAATATACCAACAGTATTCACTCGCCCCTAGTCCATACTGTAGGAAATTTTACAAGATAAAAATGTCTGTGTCATGAAAGACAAAAAAACAGTACAACTATTCTAGATTAAAATGAAGAGACTAAATACAATGTATAATCTATGGTTAAACCTGGATCAAACAAATAACCTTTAAAGGAGGAAAGGAGATCAATAACATTATTCAGACAACTGGGAAAATGAGAATATAGAATCAAAACTATATTCGCTTAACTTAATATGCCAATTATATCGAGAGTGTTGAGGGAGCCTGGGTGGCTCAGTTGATTAAGCATCTGACTTTGGCTCAGGTCATAATCTCATGTATCATGAGTTCGAGCCCCGCGTCGGACTCTGTGCTGACAGCTCAGAGCCTGGAGCCTGGTTCAGATTCTGTCTCCCTCCCTCTCTGCTCCTCCCCTGCTCACTCTCTCTCAAAAAATAAATACACATTAAAAGTTAAAATAAAAAAAGGATGAAGTACCATGATTTCTGCAGCATACTTTCAGGTGATTCAGGGAAAATGCATATATGTGACAGAAATCAAATGTGACAAAATGTTAACTGAGCCTCTACAAGGAAAAGAGTACGTGGGTGTTCACCGTTATTATTCTTCCAACTGTGCTTAAAGTGTTTTTTAAAGTATTTGGGGGAAAATATGTAAGGGAACTATTTCAATGTAGAACCTTACAATCAACTCCAGAATAGCTTCTGAACTAATGAAAATTAAATTTAAGAATGATATTATTTTTGGGGGTACCTGAGGGGGCTCAGTCGGTTAAGTGTCCAACTTTGGCTCAGGCCATGATCTCACGATTTGTGGGTTCGAGCCCTGCGTCGGGCTCTGTGCTGACAGCTCAGAGCCTGGAGCCTGCTTCAGATTCTGTGTCTCCCTCTCTCTCTGACCCTCCCCTGCTCACGCTGTCTCTCTCTCTCAGAAATAAATAAAACATTTAAAAAAAGGTTAAAAAAAAAAAGAATGATATTATTTCAGATAACAGAAGAGATCACCTGCATGTGTGCTTGCACACACAAGCGCGCACACACACACACACACAATCAATATCTACCGCACAGTTAAGTCTACCCAACTCTCCAGAGTCCAGCCGTTCCTACATGGGGAGGGTGGGAAACTGGGATCAATGAGCAGCTCCAGTAGCACCCCCAGATGGCCTCATGAAACAACAAAATTTCTTTAAAATTTCTTTAAAATTTAAAGAAAGAAAGAAAATCAGCATGAAGGAGAAGACAAAGGTTTGAAATTGGGACAATTTTTCCTTATTCTATTAAAACCAGAAAAAATTCCCTCCCTTCATGTACATCCTATCCACTCATCCTATAGCAAGCATTACCCATTATACCTGTAACGTTTGTTTATAGGCTCAGTAAATCTTACCTTTTTTCTCTTAAGCATTTTTCTACATGTAAAGTGACTAGCACTTACCTGTGTGCTAAATTCATGCCAGTAACTATTATTAAATATTATGAGCTCAGAAGACTGCTAATGAACAATCAGTAGAAACAAAATTGTGTTCTAAATTATAAGCTTATGCATATTTATCACCATTGATCAACATGCCTAACTAATGTATTTCCAATTACAGAACATTCCTTCACTGAATTTGAAGTGCACATCTCTGCAAAAAGGATTCAACTGGTCAAGTGCACAAACGGCATGTGTACGATGTGCAGTGCCTCTTCTTAAAAGAAGACTTGGTGTTTGAGGGACTTAAAAAAAAAAAAAATCATACCAGCAATGAATGTACAAATCTTGTAAAACGTTCAAACAATACAATGTGTAACACAAAAAGAAAACTAACTTCTACCCCATTTCTTAAAACGGATCCATTTTCCAAAAGAAACGATGAAAAGAATTTGGTCTCTCTCTTTCCAACCTTCTCAACGTGCCTCAATGTGCCTTTCTGTGTACGCACAGATAGAATACTCGGTCTGCTAACGGTGCCTGATCTCCCTCTGCACCTCTGTCCTGGGGAACTCACCCACGTCTCTAACGACACCAGGCACCCACAGAAGAACAAGTAAGTACAAAGGATTTTCAATGGCGTCCAAAATCAACTTTGATTTATAACCAAAATCTTAGGAATTAAACGCCCACCAAAAAACCTTACTACCCAGCACCATCTTTTCAAAGAAACAAAACCTAGTATCAAAACCTTAAAGTAGTGTTTCTCTAAGCAGAAGAACAACCCATAACCACGTGTGTGTGAGTTTTTAAAATATGAGCCCCAAGCAGAGCCTAACCATAAACATCAATCCTCAAAAACGTAAAGGAAAGAAGGTTTGAAGAGAAGCGGGCAGAGGGACTCTGGCGGCGTCTCGCCGTGCACGTACTTGGGCCTCTGTAAGACGTAGGTTAAGAGGAATGTTCTCAGAGACTCGATGCTTCCTTTTTCCAAGAGAATCCACTCCCGGACGACCGCTTCCATTATGGCCGTGGCAGCTTGAAAGAGGACATAGTCCACTTTACTTGTTTCTGAGGAGAAAATTAGAAGCTTTCTTTAAACAGCAGTTCCTCTTTCTTCGAACATTTTGCATTTATCAATTTAAAAACAGAACTTTTCAGACAAGGAATAAGATGGTTACCTGTTCTTTTTTTAATCCAGTGACCTTGCTCTAGCACCACAAAGAGGTTAGTTCCTCTCAGAAGACACCCCAGGCAGGTGGCAGCTAATCACCGATCACAATTTTCACAAACTTTCCTCACCTCTCTTCAACTGTTACTTCCAAAGCATGAAGAACTAAAAAATAACACAGCTTTAAAAAAAATAAAATAAAAATATAAAGCAATCAGAAAATTTCCTCAGAGATTCTCACCCTGTGCAAAATAGAGCTTTGCATCTGCAAAATATCTTAGTAAATCAGTCTTTGAACGTTACTATTTGTGATGAGCCATGGTGCTAGAATATTTTCTAAGTAATTAAGCTTCCAGCAGGATGGCCCATCTCTAACAGCAAGTTCAGAAATAAACACAATTATGTTCAGGTTATTTTTCTCAAAATGTTAAAAAATACGGGAGTCACATTTACACAAGGTGAGAAGTTCTTGTGAATTTTCTGATTGCAATACTGATCAAACTGAGTAAAATTCCAAAGCTACACTTAGAACACCCCAGCCTTAACTAGCAAGTTACAGTATCTGAACTAAAAACTGAATCAGGAGGGAAAGAAAAAACAGAAAATTAACATACCTAAGAAATATTTTAATTTTCTATTTTTTCTTTTATTCACCAATACCACTACAATCAGTTTCCAAACAGCATTATCAAAAGGGAGAAACAGTCAAAATGAAGTCAAGAAAAAGTAGAAATTTTCTGAAGTTCTAAAAAATAACCATCATGTGAAATCCATGAAAAGTCTCTGATTAGACTGCAGGTTATTTGCCAAGATCACTAGACATGAGTATCCGAAAGCCCTGAGAAATTAACTCTAGGCATAGAATGGCACCTTCAAGAATTTACCAGAAGAGCGTGAAGATATAGTGAGGCACATCATTTTCTCTCCTACTCAAGCTCAGGTCATTTAAAAATCTTGAGTGATCTTGACACAATAAGCTATAAAAATGGGTGAGAAAAGGTACACCCTGCATAATTTCCATCAATTAGAGTACTAAATAGGAGTTTTGAACATAACAAAACTAATAAGAGGGCCAATTTGGACCTTTTGATTCCGTGCTTTCTTAACATGAATTCTAATTGAGATGATAATCAGAACTCACAAAAGTTTAGAAACCTTAAAATATTATCAACAATAAAAGCAATAGCTGCCAAAAATGTAAACCTATCCAAAAAAGATGTATTTAAAGTTCCAGGAGAAAAAAAATGTTTTACTCGAAGAGGAATTGAAACAAAAACTAGCTGTATCTATTTAGATCACTTAAGGAGAAATATGTACTGCTCACAAAGGTAATTCAAGTAATCTCTCATTATAAACCTCTTCTTGAAAGTAAACGATGGTTGACTGCCTAGCTTCATTTTCCACTGCCATACTAAACATTTTTAGGGCAAGAAATCTGAATTCCTTAATCATGGATTTTAACAAAACCCTAACAAAATCTTAGGGACTCACAGAATTTTAGAAATAGAACTCCAAAGGTCACCTAATTCAATTCCTGCCTTTTACAGTTGAAAAACATGCTGATGCACCAAGGGATGAAAGGAAAAGAACCCATATCACACGGCTGATAAATGTTCCTTGAGCAACACTATAACTCCCCCCCCCCCAAATGCACGTGCTGATGAACAGAAGACCAAACAAGCACCTCCTGGTTTTCATAAGCAACAAAACATGCTCATTTCTAGCCATTTGTGCTTATGTCCAAGCCATCCGTCCTGCCTCCCCTGCTGTTTGCAAGGGACGAGGGAGGGAATAACTGCAGAAGGCGAATGACATTCAGAAGTTTCCAGAGTAACTCTTTCTAAATACCTCTGTTTGGTATTAAATGGGCATCTCTAAATTGCTACTCCCATAAGAAGCTTCTCTGAGAATGGAGGAGTCTGAAAAAAAGAAAGCCAAATTCCAAATTTAAAAGAAGGAATTCTCCTAACCTAATGAATTACACTCCACCTTCTCCTGAAACTTAGCGGTCTTCATAAAGCGCACCTTCACACATCGCAGGGGTGCACAGACGCCGGACGGAGCCCTCGAAGCTGCGGGCAGGAGAGCAGGACTCTGCATGACAAGCGAGCCTCATCCCTGCTCCCTGCTCTAAAGATGCTTGAAACTGCAAGGCCTTCATGAGGAACTCACAATTCATCTAGAATTTCTGATACTTTCCGGTTGATTCTCCGCGGACCGGGGCACTACTGTCTAGACAATAAATTATTTTAGGTCATTTCAGCAGCAAGCTTTCACTTCTTACCACAGCGACTTCTTTTAAAAATTATGTGACTAAAATTCATTTCTATCCTGTCAGCCATCTGGAACTACACAGAGCCACGAAGACAAAAATTAAAGTGAAGTAAATGATGAGAGGCAGAACACTACATTCGGATCCAAAAATATTCATGAAAGAAACGAAAACCACAGCAGTCAAGGCCCAGGCGTTCGAGCGCTAGCCGGCTCTCTGGCCCCGGAGACGTGGGGCCGCCCGCGTGGCGCTGCCCAGGCACACCAGTTGATAACAAGCCTCAGATTTCATTCCGTTTTGTTCCAACCACTTCTGAGGTAACAAGTTAAAGACGCCCATTTCTCCCTCCGAGAAGGACAGAAGAACACCCGCGGCAACCTTAGCTCCGGAAGCCCGGACCCAACCTCTCCCAGGCCGGGCGCGTCTGTAACAAGGACAGAACTCACGGGGCCTGCGAAGGCGCATGTGACCAAACCAAACTAACCAACTCCTACGCCAGAGACACGGGTGCGAGGTTAAGAAATCTACAAGTCCTGTGCTGACACAAGGCACCGGCATGCGACACGCGCACACAAATGCACGTGTACACACATGCCGGGCGGGGAAGCAAACCGAGAATGCCAACAAAGGGATGAGAAGGAAATGAGGAAAAACAAGAAACGTAATGAAAACTTAGGTCAGAAGTGGGAAGGAAGAATTTTAAGAGACCAGAACAGGGAAGCATCAGAGAGGAAGTCTCCCCGTCATTAGAACAAATCACCCCGACACTGTATAAAAATGGCACATTATCCCTACGTAAGAATGTGAAAATTCTGAACTGCGATTGACTGCCACTTGTATGAGAAGTCTTCTTAGAGGAATTGACCCTTCTGGGCTGGTGGCAACTGAGTAAGGGGTGGAAAGATTCTCTGTGAAGTTTAGATGCAAACATTAATGTAACACAGGGCGTTGCAGTACATTAATGATTAGATTACAATACATGCACTCGACCTTTTAAATAGTTAATGTCTCAAAACCCAAACCGATTTTAAAAGCACAGCCAGAACTAACAATACTATTCTTTAGAAATTTTTATCAGGAAAACAAAAGTATTCCAAAACAAGCTCAAATCATAACAAAGCAACAGTACTTCATAATGTATACATACTCTAAAAAGGAAAGAGTCGTATAAACAAATACACTCTAATAAAATACTTACAACTTAGATCAACTATTTCCCAACTAGTACAACTAGTGACAACTGAATTACAATAGGAAGTCAGATGAAACTGATGGGATCCTAATTAACGTACTTAAGGCATAGGCCATAAACACCAGACTCCGAGTTATTTTAGGTGACTAGTTTCATACAATAGTTTTCTAAACTATTAATGCTGAACAATTTCAAGGCAGTAAAGATGAAAGCTCCCTTGAATTCTTAATGCTGATGTTTAGCTTTGCTTCTTGTGATTTAACTTTGAATTAGATATTCTCCATAGGCATGAGAGAACAAATTTTCTTAGTGCCAGAAACAAGTTCACACAAGGATAAAACCTGATCGCTAAAAAAAAATAAAATAAAAACTGCCTCATTTCAAATTTAAAAGGTGGTTATTAAAACTGTTCCTCTAACAAGAAAATCTAACTCCTGACTGAGACAGAGCCACCTCACCACCACTGCTAGCTCCTTGCGAACAGAGAACAGAGCACTGTGTTAAGGTTATCATGTTTTTAAAACGCCATCTGAAGTCAGGTAACGGGGTTACATACTTTACTGTTTACAAAGTGGTTTTATATGTTACTACATTTGTGCCTCATGACAACTTAAGGCAACGAAGCCCATTAAGGAAAATGGCACCACTGTTCCCATTTCATATATGAAAAAAGGCTCCGAGAGGCTAAGTGACTTCCTCAGGCTGACCCCATGCAAGACACACCACCAGCAGGCAGGCCGCACAGGCCCCACAGCAGTGCTCTCTCTGTTCCCATCTAACAACTCATTTGTAAGCCCTTAGACAGAAAGCATTTTTAACACATAAATTTAATTGTAGGCCATTTTGATGTGGAAATCAGAGTGCTGGTGGCTAACAGGTAAGTCTTACTGAAAACACAAGAATTAAAGGTCAGACATTTTAGTTCCTAATATGCTACTAACCAATTTTATGGCCAAGAATAACTCAAATAGCCTTTCAGAGGCTCAAATATGGGTTACAAAACATGGCTCCAATTAAGAAAGAGTCAATAAGTAATTAAGTTTTCAAATAACAATAACCAATGAAATATCTCTTACTATCACTGAAAAATATATAAGAGGCAGAAGACTGTGTGTGTTTGTGTGTGTGTGTGTGTGTGTGTCATAGAAACACCATCTTTGGACAAGACTTATAACTTTAGTGATTATTTTTAATGGAAAGATTGTTTCTGTACATCTATCAGATAAAAGGTACTTGTAAAATATTTTTACAAGAGTAAAAATTAATGTTTCATTTTCCAATATACAGTGAAAATCTACATAGAATATTTATTTGCTAAGCAAGCTAAATATAAACTATATGATTAAAAAATTTTTTTGAATAGAAGAAAAATTGTTGAAACCTCCAAAAATAATCATAATTAAAGCACTAGAGTAAGATATGGTGCATTTCATATAATCTGTGATAGCACTCTCTTGAGAATAACTGAAAAAATATTAGATTTCCCCCCACAATTAACATACTTCATGGTATGGCCAATAATAAAACAAATTATATATATATTTACTATATTTAGTAAATTACTATATTTACAAATTACTATATTTTGGGAAAGAAAATCCAAAGTAAAAACAGTTTTCTGCCTGGCTTTATGGAGTATCTTTAAAGCCACTTCAAAAGAATGATTATTAATGGAAAACTGTTAATTATACACACCTACTTCTTTGAAAAGGAATTTAAAATACCTAACATTCAGGATAGAAAAATTATATTTGATTCTGCAAAAATACTTTTAAAGTGAATACTTACCCAAAATATGCTTGCAAACTGCAAATGGTGACTTTGACTTCCTAAATGATAAGAATATGTGCTCTGCGTGCTGGCGTTGTTCATTATTGACCATGGAAGGTGGTGCCTTGAGAGTTAAAAGAAGAAAAGCAAAACAAAACAAAAAACAGAGTACACTTGTTTAATAAGACAGCTTGAACAACAGCAAACCTTTTACCCACAATAAGAGAAAATACTTTCACTTTCGGGGGGGGGAGAGGAATGGGAGGTCAAATTACTGCTTGTTATTTTACAGAAACTGTAGTATAAAACTTCATAATAAATATTTAAAATACGGTTTCAGGAAAAAGGAGAAATTCCTGGCAAGGTTTAAAGTTGCCTACATTTTAGAAGACAGATGCTTATATAACATTTTTTGTATCTTTTAAACATAGCTAACTTATTGCTTTTTATTCCAAAATATACCACTTCATCTAACTTGACTAAGTGCAAATTATCTCTAAAGTTTTCAGCACTGGTGCAACCAAATCCAAAGTTACTAAAAATTGATTTCTCACTGCAATCCTTTAAGATGAAAATACTATCAGATAATTAATTCCACTTCAAGTTTCCTAAAATCACCATTAAGCCAGAAAAAGTACAGAACAGTGAAGTTTGGAAGGTACAAAACTTTTCTGAATATTAAATGAATCCGGAGAAAAGCCAGACTTCTGGCTTAACAAGAACACCTTCTAAAGTCAGCCAGGTATTTAAATTCCATTTTGTTCTAACAATCTTTTCTCTAAAGATATTCTTCTGAACCTAAAATATACCCACCTAAAGTACATCTTCTCATTGCATGGCTTGGTTATCTTTGACTCACTGAGACCCATTTGAAGAGATTGCTTATGCAGCCTACCAACTTAAACAGCAGAATTCTCAACTTGGGAGGGGAGAGGTAGGAAAACAAACCTTTGCTACTATGACCAATATGAAATGGGGAAATCAAAATTTGAACTATATTTAGGGGTGCCTGGGTGGCTCAGTCGGTTAAGCGTCTGACTTCGGCTCACGTTGGGCTCTGTGCTGACAACTAGCTCAGAGCCTGGAGCCTGCTTCAGATTCTGTATCTCCCTCTCTCTCTGACTCTCCCGTGCTCAGGCTGGCTGTCTCTCTCTCTCTCTCTCTCTCTCTCTCAGAAATAAATAAAAACATTTAAAAATTTTTCAACAAATTTCAACTATATTTAAACAATCTGGAAGATAAAAACATTTTGCAACAAAGTATATTGTAAACTATATTATTGAAACAAACTACATTATAAACTATAAACTATATCAATTAAGTATCATCATTATAAGCTATATCAATTATGCATCACTGGTCACTATTTTAGTTAAAATAGTAAGCAAAAATGTATATCTAAGAGAAATTAACCAAATTTGATAGCCTAGCCTAAAGATATAATTAGCCAAAACCAGTTCAGACTACTATTCCTAATGATACAGCACCCTCTACAGCTCTCTAGATAAAAATGAAAATATTTTCATCATAAAGAATTACGTTACATTCTTTTTATTTTACTTTATTTTTAATGTTTATTTTTTTAGAGAGAGAGCAAGAGCATGGGGAAGCAGAGTGAGAGGGAGACACAGAATCCGAAGCAGGCCCCAGGCTCCAAACTAGTCAGCACAGAGCCCGATGAGCGGCTCAAACTCATGAGCCGTGAGATCATGACCTGAGCCGAAGTTGGACGCTTAACCAACTGAGCCACCCAAGTGCCCCGAATTGTGTTAAATTCTTTAATACATTTTTTGGAAAAGTCTTTATTAACACTGTGAACAGCTAAACTATGCTAAATATAAATATTTTTGTTCTTCCATTTGCAAATTCTTCGTTCTCACCATTTTCCTTAATTCAACAAGTTTCTGTTTTTACAAGATATTTCATCCTTAATACCTGCTGACTGTACCCCCCAAATCCAGCATATTAGTAAACACTATTACAACATGTTATACTGCTATGAACACAAATCAAAAACTATGGATTACCCAGATAATTCTGATTTATATTTTCTTTCTTCTCATCACCCTTGAAAGGGAGTACATACATAATTTTGCAAATACTTAATTATGCCATATTCTACAAACAAAAATAGTTTCTAAAGCTAATGATCTTTGGACACCCTGATCCACATACTTAAAATACAGGTCTCAATATAACTTTAATATAACAATATTTCACTTATAAAGCATCAGATTTCATTAAGTAATGCAGTGTAATCTAGAAGTTGGTTTATATTAACCACCTGGTCGAACATTATCATACAAACAATAAAATCATCAATTGATTCATTAAATGCCAATATGGTATTCACTTTAGTTTCCCAAAGCCAAAACTTTTCTTTTTTAAAATGAATGATTTGGCAATGGTTTGCAAACAGCACGTTATGTGCATCCGCAAGTTCTGAGAAGATTTTTTGTTTAAAAAGACAGATGGGGCGCCTGGGTGGCTCAGTCGGTTGAGTGTCCAACTTTGGCTCAGGTCATGATTTCACAGTTCGTGGGTTCAAGCCACACGTCGGGCTCTGTGCTGACATCTAGCTCAGAGCCTGGAGCCTGCTTCGGATTCTGTATCTTCCTCTCTCTCTGACCCTCCCCTGCTCACGCTCACGCTCTCGCTCTCTCTCTCTCTCTCTCTCTCAGAAATAAATAAAACACATTAAAAAAAAATTTTTTTAAATAAAAAAAAAGAAAAAAAGAAAAACATATTCCCAGCCCCGACAGATTTAACAGGCTCAGCTTCTAAATAAAAAACAGCATCTTTCCCACAAAATTCCCAACTCAGGACTGACCCATACCTACACCTCTGTCAAACTCCTTCCTGTTCAGAAAGCGGAACTCCTCCTTCACACACAGCTTCAGTTTCTCCTCCGTCAGCCTTCCTGGCCTCCCGCCCGTGGGCCTGAGCACAAACGTCCCCCCTGTGCAACCACGTGTGTGTGTCTCTCTCACCCAACTCCCCGTAACGCACCGCACGCACCTGCTTGCCCCCTTTTCTTTTTCGCTGGGATTTTTCTGACACCGGAAACCTTATTTTACTCATCTCTACATGCCTAGAGCCCTGCACCCGCCAAAAGAGAGGCAACACAACAATAACCGACATTCACGGAGTCCTTGGCGTTGCAAGGCATTCTCTGCCACAGACGGACGGACACACACATAACCTCAGTAACCCCGATACCCTTATGCGGCGGCAACTATTATGATCCCCGTTTTACAGATGAGGAATGGAGTGACCCATCTGCCGAAGGTCAGGTAGGAAGCAGAGGTGGAAAGTGACCTCAGGGCCCTAACTCTTTAACAGAAACGACACTGAGGTGGTTCAGGACCGTGTAAGACTCCCCACGCTTACAGCACGGGGGTGGAAAGGAAGAAACCCCCCGTCAAAGTCCTGAGGCCCGATACAGACACGAGAGTGTTCCACGTAGTAGCCCGAGCAGCGTCAGGAAAGGTGGAGTGAGAGCAGAAGAGCGTTTCTGTGCGGCCCGCTTCTGTTCTCTCATTTCACGGACAGCAAAGCTTTAGAAGAGCTCACACTTCCCGGGCAGGGGGCAGTCGGGCGGGCCGGCAGGGCTGGAGGCAACAGGAGGCGGTGGCGGAGCCTTGTGATGCTGAGGGAGGGAGCAGCCGAGCGAGCGACTGCGACTCCGACGCCGACTCCGGGTGTCTTTAGGAAAATGAAGGCGGTGACAGGAAAACGCTGACCGGTGTTTTTCTAACGCTTATTTATTCACCGGCGGGGGGCGGGGGGGGGGAGAGGACGCGAGGAGAAACCCCAGCAGGCTCCACGCCGGCAGTGCGGAGCCCTCCAGAGCCGGGGCATCTCGTGACCTGAGCCGAGATCAAGAGCAGGATGTCTACGCCGCTGCACCCCAGGCACCCCGAGAGGGGCTCTACGGAGCCACACTGGCGAGAGGCCTGAGGCTCACAGATCGCTGGGCCAATATCCTGGGGTCTCTGGCGCAGTGCACACACCCCACCGCCCGGCCGGACCACCTTCAATGTACAAACACGTGCTGAAGAAACGGGGCGCCCGGCCTGGCCGTCTGAGGCGGGGGCTCGAGGTTCACTGAAAAGTGGGTTACATGACGTATTTACTATGGGGGGGTGGGCAGGAGAACCAGAAGTACTAAATTATTTAAATTATTTCTGTTTACTGAGGGCTGACTGTAACCCAAGCACCACGCCACAAGCTAGGGGCACAAAAGCGGGCAAAGCCGCCCCCGCCCTTCCGGGGTTCCGAGTCTTATGAAGACAGCCGTTAACAAATCTCACACACAAGTGAGTCTCTCACTCCCCCCGCCGCCCCCCGACCTCGCATGCAGGCCGCTTCTCCCTTCACGCTAAGCCTGCCCTCAGCTTCAGAAAGTCACGCTCCTCGCCGGGGGGGGGGGGGGGGGGGGGGGGGGGGGGGGGGCGGGGGGGAGATGACACGTGGGCTCATCGAATCGCAGCCTCGGCCCTGTACGAATTACTGCATCTCTTTCAACACGTGGAGACCCTTCGATTCACATACCCAAGATCACAGTCTCGGAGCCAGAATGTGCCTTAAGTCTGTGTAACATCAAAGCCCCTGATGTGACTCTCTTTAAGTACTACTAATGAGGAGGCATAGTTGAGTAGGCTAATTTCTGTCAGATAACCCTTAAAAAAGTTCAGACAATATTCCTGGCTTACTATAAATATCATTATTTACAGGATATTCAGGGGCCCCTTTTTAAAGATTTATTTTTAAGCAATCCCTTGCAACCAAAGTAGGGCTCGAACTCCCAACTCTGAGATCAAGAGTTGCATGTTCCACCAACTGAGCCAGCTGGGCTCCCCAAGGATAAACAATTTTTAAATTATGGTTCTCTCCAGGGATGAAGCAGCAGAGTCTGGAGTTATCCAGAAGGGTTCCAGGGCTCCTGGGAGGCTCAGTCAGTTAAGTGTCTGACTTTGGCTCAGGTTATGATCTCACTCATGCAGTTTGAGCCCTGCATTGGTTTCTATGCTGTCAGCACAGAGGCTGCTTCAGATCTTCCTCTTTCTCTGCCCCTCCCCCACTCTTTCTCTCAAAAATAAACATTAAAAAAAATCTTAGGGA